CCCACCTGACTAGTAATGTCGCCCCACCAATGTCGGGCCCTGTCCCTCAGCATACAGGAAGCAAATCCAACATTTGTCTCCTCTGGACAAGAACTCGTACGTTGAGCATTTTCAATGTCTGCCACCCAGCGTCTACTCACAATGGGATCCATGAAAACTCCGGAGCTCCACACGCCTTGAACTCCCTAAATGAGGAAGTTCTAGCTCCACCGTGGCCTACAGAAATATCGGCCCTGAATGCTCTAAGTCTTTCCTCCATGATCTCCATCATGCCCTCCTTGACCGTCCCGAAGATGACTAGGGTAGCATCAAGGATGCCCCTCATAACCTCGGCCGCAATCAACTCACGCAGCCTCTCATCAATACCATCAGTATGGCCGCCTAACCCAGCCCCGGATCCCGACCCCGATCCCGATCCTGATCCCCCTGCTCCAAATCACGTAACCACCGTGTTGAACTATCATAACACAAACATAAAGATCAGGATACCCATATCGAGATTGCATCCCTACCATGCTTCTTTGGAATTCCCAGGTAGAACATGGGTTCGGGTACGGGTCCTGTGCTTCCAATAATATGGGCCCAGTACTACCTTCCACACTTGCCCATACCTTTCCCCTGCTTTACCCAGTACTTCCAATCTATCGCATCCATAAAACTACGACTCACAACTCTCGCATGAATCATTCCCTGAACATCCTATGATCGTCCTACTCACAACAATCATACCAATCACTGCAGGTAGCTACTAGGCATGCAAATTATACACAGAAAGGATCAAATAGAATTTTGAATAAGAGATTCTACCCTAAGACCATATCCAAACAAGGAAAAGGAAATATGGCTAAATCACCCATTCTGAAGTTGCGACTCCTAACCGTATATAATTTTTTCACATACACTTAGCAAGTTCACATAATCGACAGAGCTCATTATCAGTATAACATGGCTATTCAAATTGGGAAACTACTTACTTGGCTCGGCTAATCACGTGCGTTGTACTCTCCTCTTTTGGGTTTAAAATCCTTTTTAAGTTACTTTTGAAAACATTTACCACTTCCTCAGTTTGAGTCCAGACACATCCGAGGATGTGACCGAATATCTCAAACCAAGGCTCTGATACGAACTTGTAACAACCCAAATTTTACAAAGAAAATTTTTCGTTTTAATTAATCAACCGATTACACATTCCATAGGTTTTCAAAACATTTTTTTAAAATCACATTCATTACATCATTGTTGTCTTGTTCTGAAAACATCAGAGAGTCATAAAACATCCAAAAGAGAGGTAGAGTATGCGTCGCGTCATCACGCCTTGCCCTTGCCCTTAGGCTACGAAGTACCTGAAACAATGAAAAGCCTGTAAGCGAAATGCTTAGTGAGTTCCCCAAAGCATACCACGCACAATCCACACAACACATATCATGATAGCCATAAAAGTTACACACATACATATAAGCCATGCATACATGAAACCTGTGAGAATGCCATTGGCTACTCACATTGTCTTTACCTAAGATTGCCACGGGCTCCCCCACATGGCCTTACATCCAATGCCATGGGCTACCCCACATGGTCTTCACTTAGGACTGTCATGGGCTACCCCACATGGTCTTACATCCAATGCCACAGGCTCCCCCCGAGGTCTTTATACAAAACATGCAATCACGTAACAAAACACAGAACGTCTAACACATATATCATAGTCACATAATGGGCCATCCTTGGTGCCTTAGACCCATAGGTATGGTGAGAAGACTTACCTATCACGAATGTTGAACTAACACTCCGCGACCAAATATACCCCACAGGCTACTCCACGCAACTGCCTAACAAGTGTCATACAATATACAATCATTTCCCCAAAGTTCATCCTGGTCAACTGCCGCCAAGATCAAGTCAACAGTCCATGTTGACCCCAACTCACCGAGTACAACTAGTGACTTGCCGAGTTTCTCGGGATAACATCTACTCGTCGAGTCATTGAGGTGACTCGTCGAGTTCATACGGTCTTGATTGATAAGCTAAGGTCATTTGTTCTATTTCCTTGCTTGCCACTCGACACATCTACGAACATCCAACAATTGGGGGAATCTTACTTGACTCGCCGATTTGTTCCTTCAACTCGTCGAGTTCTAGGTAACCTTCATCCGGCTCGCTGAGTTGTTCATCCAACTCGTCAAGTCCAGAGCAGTATTCATCGGGCTCGCCGAGTTGTTCATCCAACTTGTCGAGTCCATGCCTGCCTTCATATGACTCGCCGAGTCGCCCTTGCGACTCACCGAGTCCTATAGGTCTCAAGCCATACATACTCTTTTGATCCATGCAATTCTTCCAAACTACGGATCTAGGCTCCTGAGGCATGCTTTCCACATAAAGTTGTAAATTTTACGTGCATGCAAGGCTTTAAGGCCCTAAAATAGCAAATCTAAGCTTGGATCTATACCAACTAGAGAGGTACAAATCGTGTAGAGTTGTACATCGAATTCAGGTTGGCCGACACACCTGGAGATGGAAATCAACCCCTTCCTCTGTTGATAAGGTAAATGAACCACATGCATTATCCTCATTGATAGGAACTTTTCAACCCTCAGCGGAGATGGATAGATGTCGATGCGAGATATCATCGGATGGAATGTACGATATTGATGTACTTAGGTGACTGATTGACAAACCAGCAGCAACAGACTTATCAAAAAACATTGAACGGACTCAAGAGATACCTATTAAAGTTCAAAGTTTTATATGGCGTGCGTACCAGGGGGTATTCCAACGTTAAAGGATCTAATGAAGAGGGGATTGTAGCTTAGAGGAGGAAGATGCGTGCCATGTACTCATTAAGTGCCCTTTTGCAAAAATCGTGTGGGAATTGGTCCTACGATGGTGCGACACTCCGAAACGATCCCCATTCTCATATGTCCATGATATCATTGAATTTGCTAAGGGGTGGGGGAACTGTCAAAGGAAGAGAAATATGATGGATTTGGAAGACAAGGTGTGATAGGGTTTTTAAGAATCTTCATGTTAACCCGACAACAGTGGTGGATAATATCAAATCACAATTCTTCACGTGGATCAAATATCAAAAGGCGAAGTGCAATTATAATGGGTTTGATTGGTCTAATTGTCCGGTTTCTTGTTTGTAATATGTAATTGTTTCCTTTTCTTTCTTATCATGTACTATTGTCTTCTATTCCTGCCCCGTTTAGCTACTTGCTGGAGGGGTGTCATTTTCTTTTTTATATAATATATTTGTGGTTTCCAAAAAAATATATACCTTATAATTTAACAATTCAACGAATAAAATATATGTATAAAGGATTAAATTTATTGATTTTGCCATCAAACCCAATAAGTGATTATTTAATTTTCAATATTATATAACAAAGATAACCTTATAATTTTAGTGGGTCCACTGCAAAAGGTGATAGTACCGTACGATTGATGTTTTTTTTTTTTGCAATTTAGACTAATCAAAAAAAATCCAAACAAAATATGGTGCCACACACATTTGCGAAATGGGCTTGTTAAATTGTGGACCTGCTAATGAATGCCACCATAAAGAAGTCTAATGTAAAAAATTTAAATTCGCATATATATGAGGCTTTGGCTGTTGTAGTCGGCTTTCTAGGAAATTATAGGTCACTTCTTTGTCTCTTTTTGGATGATGTACCATTTGTAATAGATGATGCTATAGACAAAGCCGCTAGGACGTTTCATAATTAATTGTTATTTTATCTATATTCTATCGAACTCCCGTTTTGTAGTTGTTATGCAACTTTTTAGTTACATATGATTTTTATGGCTCTTGTAGGAATAGGATATATACATTTTGCCTTGGTATTTTATTTTTGGATAGTTGGCTAGACTTTTCTGTTGATGGTTATATAATATGATTTGGATGTCATTTTTTCCAAAGCAAATATCCCACAACAAACTAAGTAGAATTGTTTATATATATATATATATATATATATATATATATATATATATATATATATATATATATATATATATATATATATATATATATATATATATATATATATATATATATACATACCATTTGGATGTCATTTTTTCCAAAGCAAATATCCCACAACAAACTAAGTATAATTGTTTACATATATATATATATATATATATATATATATATATATATATATATATATATATATATATACCAATTAACTAGCAAAAATATTTTATTTGTCAAATCGTAAATAAGTATATAGTAGAAAGTTTTCCGATCGTAAAAATTTTGGATGTAACTTTACAATCTTCAAAACGGTAGCCATATCTTGGACGATAACAACTGTTATAGAAGACTAATCTCGGACACATTTTTACCTTGGTTGTTATGAAATCAAGAGGTGATATCATTTCATGTATCTTTGTGATCTTAAATCTCATGATTTATCGTATAATACAACACCTATTCTAGTTATTTGGCATGCAAACTACCCACACACCACGTCATTGGCTTGCAACACAGGCATGCTATTTTCCTTGATTTAGAAGGATACTTCTTGGTTGGATGACAATTCATAGAACAAGCTATATTTAAGAAAAGATTATGCAAATGGTCATTTAGGTTTTGGATTTTTCCCTAATGTAGTCCCTACGGTATTTTTTTCCCTCAAATAGTACATACGGACCATAAGTTGCATGCGTTTGGTGCCCCAGTTGGATGTTCATCCATTCCAACGTTAGGTTGCCCCATGTAACTTGCATAAGTGGGTATTTATGTCATTTTACCCAAAAGGACCGTTTTTGAACATACAAATCAATAGTTATATCCATTCAGGTGGGAGGGTTTAGTTTTAGACATTGACTTTACACTCTATCTCTTTCCCCAAGAAAACTTTTTGATCATCTCATCTTCTTCAATTGTTAGTTCTTATCGTCGTCCAAAAAAAAATAGTTCAACTGATTGAAGGTTGTATCGAGGAAAATGGTGCTCACATTGTGGTCTTTACGTCCACGCTAAACCCAACCACATGATCTATGTAAAGAATATTGTAATCACAAACCTTGGAATGCTAGGTTTTGACGAAATGTAATTTTGCTTTCCTCCATCATTAACATTTTATTGTTCTTGAATTTTCACATCAGGTTCTATTTCAAGCTTTTGCACATTCAAGATAAATCATGCGGGTTCGTTCACAAGTACGATATCTGGAAGGTCATACATAGATGGGCTTGTGGATCACTTTGATTTTGTAGACATGGATGTGTTTTTAGTCCACGAGTTAGATGATATGATGGTAGTTTTAGGGTACAATGATGGAGGTATAATGTTTTACCATTTCATGATCCCAAAGACATATTGGATAGTGAATTGTTACCCATTAGCACTGATCAGGAAGTCATTCAATTGGCAAGGTATGTGCCTAATCATAAGGAAATTAATTTATACATTGAGCATGGAAATACTAGAGTAGTCCCTTACTTTAAGTCCCCATTGAAGGTTCGTATTAAGGAAGTTGAAGGGATTATTCTCCTGAAATGAATAGGGCTAGAATGAAAAGGAAATCAGTTTGGTCATGTAGTAAAAATTTGAATTTGAATGAGCCCGCTAATTTGTCAAAGTTGATTGTACCTTATGAACTTGTGATAAAAAAAACAATCAGTTGATCGAGAGAGTGATTCCTTTAGGGGTAGTGTTTGAGAATAACCATGGTAAAAAAGTTGTTGACACACGCGATGATCACCAACCAAAAGGGATGTTGATCCAGTGGATTATTATGAGGTAATGAGGGATGTAGATGTAGAATATGATTGGGGGGGGGGAATCAACATGGTGTTGAGTATTTTGAGGATGAATACAGTGGAAGTAAGGAAACTGTTAGTGAGGGTCCTTGGAGTGGGGGTAGTAGGAGTGAGGGTAATATGAAAGATGATGAGAGTGAGGATGAAGACTTCTTTGGGGATTTAGAAAATATTGTAGATGATGTGGATGTTGATATGAAAGAATTTCATATACATGTTGGTGAAGATGTTGAGTGCGTTAAAAAAATGACCAAAGAAGCAAGTGGTAGTGGTGTTGACTTTACTGAAGGTGAAGATTTGGAGGTCATAGACCAAGAATCGTTTGTGTCACTTATTGTAGGTGAAGATAACAATAGAGGAGGATATTGAGAGACATAAGAAATGCAAAAACTTGTTCTGAGGGTGTAGTTCATCCAAAGGCTTTCACATTAGGACAAAAGTTCAAAATAAAGAAAGATGTGAAAGTATATATAAACAAACATGCAGTAGAAACCAAAAGGGATTTACATTTTGAAAAAAAAATGACACAACAAGGATTAGGGCTAAGTGTAGAGGAGTGGTCCCAAATATGAGTGGTGGTCCATGGACAAAGTCAAGGACTGGATTCAAGGACAAAACAGTAAATATGAAAGAGGGTAAATATCCTTAGGTTGTACTAGTGTCTAGACCAAAAGAGATAGAAGACTGGGTGGTGAATACCCTAGTTAGTGAACCATTAAATCTTGCATCTACGAATACATTGCAACAAACAATATGAAGCAAATTGAGAGTAATCCAACCATTCCAGTTAACGCACTTCAAGAAGATATCATCCAAAAATTCAAGATGACCATGTGAAGAATGAAGGTACATCGGACAAAGGCATTGGCTTAGTGTAATATCCCAACTATCAGGTATCCTTATTATTTAATTTAGGCTTCATGTTTTAAGGCCTAATCGACGAGTTGATGCTATGACTCATCGAGTAGCAGGGGGATGGGACACACCATTTAATGACTTAACTTGGTGAGTCGGGTAGGGGACTTGAAAAGAACCTTAGATCAATCGATTTATCAAACAATGACTAATAATAAGAAGAGAACAATGAAGTATCACAAAGAGCTTTCACTAAGAATGATAATCTCACAAAGAGATTATTGTTCGCAGAAAGTGGCTATTAGGATTTGTGAAAGACAACCTCTTCACAAACCCGTACAAAAGACTATATAGAACTATTATAGACAATCCCTACAAATCAGGTATGTTCCAGCTAACTAATATATGATAACTATGGAAACAAGATAAATACAAAATCTGTTACATATAAGACAATATATATATATATATATATATATATATATATATATATATATATATATATACTGACCAACTTGTATGTTGACGCTGATGCTGATCCTAACGCTGATGCTGATGGATCAGTTTCAAACATCATCAAATTATAAGGTTTGACCTTACAGGACTCGATGAGTAGGAGCTGGCAGAGGAAACCCTAAATTTCAGAGTTTTCCACCCTATACATTGGACCATTAGCGCCTCCCACTGTCTTTTATCCCCCCTTGAGAGCCAGAAACTCTAATTTTTGTGTGTGTGAGCCTTGTGAGTCTTTTGGAGCTTTGGAATGTGATTTAGTGAAGGAAATTTGTAGAACAAGAGGCTAGCATCAAGGAAATTCGTGTGGATGCAAAGTCTACTTTAGTTTGGGCACATTTTGGAGCTTAAGAAGGAATTTTTGTGTGGGAGCTAGATCTGAAGTTGAAACTTCAGATCTGAACCTCCCTTGGATCCTAAGTTCATAAAGTTCTCTGTATTGTCATGAAAGAACCCTTCCTTATGAGTAAAGTTTCATTACAAGATTGGATTTGGATTTTGAGGCACACAAATACGTAAAGGTATCAACTTTATGTTGCTAATGCACTCTAGGGACCTACATCTACTATTTGGATCAGGGGAATAGTTCAGAATCGCTTGATCATGGGAGTATTTGTATTAAGTCAGCGAGTCCAGGAGATGACTCGGCGAGTTGAGTCGAATAACTCTTGAACCAGTAGGGACCCGATGGAGGGAAAGTTGCACTCAGCAAATAGGGCAACATGGATTGTTGGCCATCAAACAGCGACTTTGACTTTCACTAGGGAGTGTATTGTGCCTTCCAAGGTCTTTTTGGTAATTTGAGTAATTATTGAGTGGACCACTTATGGGTACAGGCGAGTTGGTTGAAGCAACATCTGGAGATGTGGACAATGTTATTCTGAGTTGCTAGTGAGGTGAGTTATCCACACTATATCACTAGGGTATAAAGCACCAAGGGTGACCCTTTAGGTTGTCATTCTGATTACAATATGCTGTATGTGGTTATGACTTGTTAGATTGGTATCCGGATAGACAAGATGTTGTTATGTTTCATGATCCATTAAGATCGGTATGTTAGTGACTTGGTTAGGTTGGTATTCTGGTTATAAGTGATTGCTCCGATAGATAATATGTGAGATAGTTATATCTATTATATATATATATATATATATATATATATATATATATATATATATATATATATATATATATATGCCATTATATGTTATTTATGTGAACATGGTTGTTTGTTGAATGGTTGGGTTGAGGCGGTCCTGCTTTGTGCTAAAGGAAGTCAACCCCTAGAGTTTGCAGGAATTGGTCTCCCGATATTATGTTGTTTATCTTACGCCTTTGGTATATTTTTAGTATGGTGGTGATGAGACATTTTGCGAGTGGATCCGGGTCAAGATCAGTATCAGGACCAGGATCAGGAGATGGAGGTCAGGGTGTGCCTATAGCACCTCAGCCTGTGGTGCAGATAGGGATAGAGGATTTGAATGCCAGGATTCGGGAGATCCTACATGATGAGATTGTTGTTGCGTTTCGAGAACAACTACTAGAGATGTTTGGTTCGATTAAAACCATTATGGTCAAGTACTTTGACGAGCATTATGCAGCCTTAACAGAGACAACCACCGCTGCAGCCATATCGGCTATAACCGCAACAGGGGGTGGAGGAGGAGCAATCCGGGCTTTTCAGTATCGAGACTTCGATAACACGAATCCACCGACATTTGATGGTACCCAGGATGCGATCAGAGATATGAGGTGGTTATCTGACGTGGAGGGATGTTTTTTCACGTGCTCATATCTTATTGACCAGAAGGTCAGGTGTGCCTGAACCTGTTGAGGCTTAGGGCCAAGAATTGGTCGAGACTGACGATTGGGTCATACACTGATGATCAAAGACTTGCTCTTCCCTGGGAGCGGTTCAGGGATATGTTCCGCGCTCGCTACGTTCCACGTGTGGAGCGGGAGCGGCTTGCTTAGGAGTTTTTGACTTTGAAGCAGGATGGAGAGTCGGTGATGGAGATCACCCTCCTGTTCACAAAGAGGGCTATGTTTTGCCCAGAGTTTGCATCCGAGTAGTCTCAGATGACTCGTTATCTGAGCATGCTCAAGACCGATATCCGTCAGTTTGTTGCCATGCAACATTGTGATACTCTTGTGGATCTTTAGGAAGCCGCTAAGTGGCGTGAGCTGGAGTTAGATCTGCAGTTGAAGGAGCAGCCTCAGGTTCCGGCACAGTCTCAACCATCACTGAATCGGTCTAAGACCACTGATTCTACGACCGGGGGTCAACAGAGTCATGCTTGTGGAAAGTGTGGCAAGGGTCATTCTGGGGCTTGTCAAGCAGGTGATGGGTGACACAAATGTGGCAAGGAGGGGCATTATGCTAGGGACTGTCGGCAGTCCGCCCCTCCAGCAGATATGAGGATATATTATCACTGTTATCAGCTTGGGGACCAACTGTCCGTAGCTCGCCGCCAAACTGATGCAGGTTTCCACACTAACTACTTTGAGGATTACGGAGGGGAGGCCAGTAAAGGTGGAGCCTCTGAAGGCTCAGAGGCGTGCCTTCCAGCTTACGGCTGAGGAGGCCAAGGTAGAACTGGATGTGGTTGCTGGTATGTTTCTATCTCTTAATTCAGTTATTATGTCGGTGTTATGCTTATTTTTTATACCTATGTTTAGGTACGTTTTTAGTAAACTCCTTTCCTGCATTGGTTTTACTCGACTCGGGGGCGAGTCGGTCGTTCGTATCTCAAACTTTAAGTAAGGGTTTCAGTGTGCCAATAGGTGAGCTTGAGTGTCTGTTGCGAGTTTCTATCACCAACGAATATGGGGGTTCTGCTTCTTCGGTCTACCGGGGATGTGAGTTGGAGATTTTCGGGGTATCCTTCCTGATAGATTTGATTCCTATTCCCATGGGGGAAGTATGTGTGATTGTAGGGATGGATTTGCTCAATCGTTTTGGCACCATGATCGATTGTGAAGGGAAGCAGGTTGTAGTTTGAACCCTAATTGGGGGAGAAATGATGGTATATGGTGAGGGCACCAGAGTAGGATCAGAGTTTTGTTCAGCAGCCAGGGCTCATCGGTATATTTAGCACAAGTGTGCCGGTTACTTAGCATATGCGGTGGATACACGAGTCAGGGACCAAACTTCAGTTTCAGAGGTCCCAGTGGTTAGAGAATTTGCTGACGTGTATCCGGAGGAGGTACCCGGAGTTCCTCTAGAGAGGCAGTTTGAGTTGAGGCTTGATCTTGTGCCGGATGCGATTCCTGTTGCTAAGGCGCGGTACCTATTGGCACCGCCAGAGATGAAGGAGTTGTCATCTCAGTTACAAGAGCTGCTAGGTAAGCACTTATTCGTCTGAGAAGTTCTCCATGCGGAGCACTGATCCTTTTCTTCAGGAAGAAGGACGGTTCGCACCGGATGTGCATCGATTATAGGGATTTGAACAAGTTAACGGTGAAAAGTCGTTATCCACTCCCGAGCATAGATGATCTCTTCGATCAGTTTTAGGGTGCATCTTGGTTTTCTAATATTGACTTGAGATCTGGATAACACCAGGTCAGGATGAGACAGGAAGACGTGGGAAGACCACATTTCGGAATCATTATGGTCATTACAAGTTCGTGGTGATGCTGTTTGGGATCACCAACGCGCCAGCAGTGTTTATGGATCTTCTGAACCGAGTCTATAGGCTGATGCTCGATCACTTGGATATTGTATTCATAGATGATATCTTGGTGTATTCCAAGACCAGGGATTAGCACGAAGAGCATCTGCAGGAGTTATTAGGAGTTTTGAGGCGAGAACGACTTTACGCCAAGTTCTCGAAGTGTGAGTTTTGGTTGCGAGAGGTCCAGTTCCTTGGCCACCTCATTAATCAGGAGGGGATTTTGGTCGATCCGCCCAAAATCAAGGTGGTTATGTAGTGGGAGATTTCCAAATCTACCTCAGATATCAGAAGCTTCTTGGGATTGGCAGGGTACTACCGGAGGTTTAT